ATAAATTAATATAAAAAATAAAAATATTATAATCACTTAATGTTCTAAAAGGTAAAAAAATGAAATTGAAATTTATTAAATAAATATTAATTAAAATTTTTGATAAAAAATGAAAAAATTAAAATGGATAAAGTTGTCAATAAAATTAAAAAATTCCAAATCACTAGAAGCTACCAAATTAGCTTTTTCAATTCATTAGCGATTTAAACTTTAACTGCTATTCGCTAATCCCAAATCGCTAAATAAAAATTTTTATCAAACACCTTGTTTGTAACGGCTTTAAAATATATAAGTTTATCAAACACCTATACTTAATGGTTTAGACAAAATTGTTAATCGTTATCCTAAAATTGCTATACCAAACGGGCCCTAAATTATCTATATGATAAATAAAGACTATGACTTAAAAATCACTAATAGAAAAGTAAAAAGAAAGCTAAAAAAAATCATACTTTGAAGTTATAAGTATTCATCGTTGCCTAAGAGTGCAAGTTATTGGCTTTATGTGTAATATGTATTTGGTTTAGAGTTTGTTATTTATAGGATGTGTGTGTGATTTTTTTTTTAAAAAAAAAATTATTGTGATTATATAGATATTAAGTATAATAATATATATATATATATAATTTCAATTATACAAGTACAAGTACAAGTAACATATCAATTAAATAAAATGGTTAAATAGGTCGGATAAACAATTTTAAACCTTTATACTTATTACTTGACTTGATATTTATGGATATTCTATTTTCATATCCAGTATTTACCCAAATTTTTTACAATTTAGGAAAGGTACTTAATTACCCAAACAAGTAAAATACTTACTAGTAACATGTATAACCGTACCCAATGCTCACCTCTAGGTTGAATTACCGTATTTAATATGAAAATATTACTAATCTACTAACATATGACAATTATATAATTATAATATTATGTAGAATTATAAATTTATTGATGGGAATCAAGACGATAGCACATTTACCACGTCAAGTGATCAATTATACATCCAAGGAGATCCAATCACGTGGGTTAGAGCTAAGAAGATGCGAGAACCTTTAAATGGCCTTATTAAGCAAATTTGGATTGAAAACAACATATAACAAGTAAATCAAAGCTTGGATGATTATCAAGACATGGTAAACATCATTTAGGTTCAAAGGAAGTTTAGTTGAGGTCATTTGCGCTGAATTACAAAGTTTGTGTCAAAATCGTATAATTTTGCCACAATTTATATCAAACTGATATTTTTTGTTATTTTAGGTTATTTTGAGTAATTTTCATGTTTTCTATATTATTTTGGAGTTGAACATTCATTTATTTAAAACCTAATTCATGGTTATTAGGTTTAGGACTTAGGGTGTTAGTTTTCTTTTCTGATTAGGATTAATTTTCTCTATTTAAAAAGCTTGTAACCCTAATTGGGAGGGAGTTTTTTGAATGAGTTGTTAAGAGATTTTTCTCTTTGTTTCATTTCAAAACCTTACAAAATTTATTAAGATTATTCTTGTGACAATCTAACTTGACTTATCATTCTTGTTCTTAATCATTCAAGGGTGTGACATCAACCAACTTTATACCACTGGTTCTTGTTGTGTCATAAACAACTGGTCAAAGTCTTTACCTTTGGTTCTTATTACGACATAAACAATGGGTCAAAGTCTTATCATAAACTTGATTTGGTTTTCCTAGAGTTTCAAAATCCCTTGTCATGCTATGAGTCTCTTTGTTCTCTTTAAGATTCTCATCATTCACAATCTTAACATGTTACTAAATGAATAAATACTTATAATATCATGACTATGTCTTAAATGAAAAAAGCTAATTATATCATGACATTTCAATATTGTAAATTGATAATACCATATGGCATTGTAAGTATATTATTTTTTATTAATATAAATGACAATGCTAGAGTTATATTGTCGTGTAACTAAGATTGTAAAGTTATAATCACTATATAATATTAAATGAATGAATGCATACAATATCATAAATGAATCCATAAATAAAAAAATAAATTATATAATAATCTATCGTAATTGTAAACTTATAATATCATGTGGTGTTGTAACTATATCATTTTCAGTTAGTTAACTAAAAGACTTGCAATAATAATTAATGTGACATTTTTTTGTATTTTCCATAAGAAAGTGTGGGATTTTTTTGTAAAATAAATGAGGGTTTTAATTAATGGATTCTCTACATTTATATTTATATATATAAGAAAAGTGTAAT